TGCTAAAACCTGTGAACCTCCATAACCATCTATTTATGTTATCGAGTAAGCAATTTTATCACAACTGTTGTACTCTGTTTTTGGTATATATATATATATATATATATATATATATATATATATATAGTGAGTGGCATCACACTTAAATGACTGCAGTAAGGATTAATGTGTCTTACTAAATATGCCTTGCTGGAGGTTCTACCCACCTCAGAGCCATTATTGTTAATAATTTCACTAATTTTGTGTTGAGTGTTTTATTTCATTTCACTGTGTCATAAAACTTGCAATGCAATATTGTGTCTTCTATCCTGATCAGTGCAAGTACTGCACTGTCTTCATGTTCTGGATCCTCTTATTGTATAATCCAAGTGTTGTATACTGCACTGACAGAATATCTGTATGTGCTTATTACTGAAATAAAAGTTGACTGTAAAAAAGAATCTTGTTATCCAGATTTGTGTGATATTTATTCCCCACCACAGCCATTCTCCTGGGAAGGATTTCCATATGATTTTAAAGTGTGCCTGTAAGAATTTGTGTCTATCCAGCCAAAAGAACATATGTGAGGTCAAGTATTGAAGTTGAACTAGTAGTCCTGGCTTTCAATCTGCGTTCCAATTCATCATAAAGGTGCTTGATTGGGTTGAAGTCAGGACTCTGTGCAAACCATGCCTTTATGGACCACATGCCTCATAATCAGAACTGCAATCAATGTCCAGTGATGACGCACAAAACATAAAATAAGACAGCGTTGATCCTTACTTTGGAATATACCTGCTCAAGTCCAACAAACACTGTATACTCTAATGGTGGCTGGGATGCATCTCAACTGCAACAAAAGATTAATACACATAAAACAACATACTAAGCTGCTATAAAACTTCACTCCATATGGTAGTGCTAAATAAACTACTGAATAACTATCCAGAGGTGAATGTAACACTACAAAAAAAAATATCGGAAGTGGTGGCTATATTTACTGAACCCAGGATTTATTTTTAAATAGTATGTCTATGATCTCTTATTATTACCATAATCATTCCTAATTTACTCTCTTTTCCTATTTGTCCCTTTTCTTGCTTTATTTGTATTTCTATTTTTCTAGAAATTAATTGTCTTTCATTTTTTGCTGTGTTCTTTAAATCATTTTTGAAATATGTAAATAACTTTGCAATGCATTGTAACAGAAATATAATTCTATATAACAATTTATTAATGTGGACTGTACTGTATATTGTTCTATTTTCTGCTACCCACATCTCTATTTTTTGTTACAAAATTTTATTTTGTTAAACAAGACTTTCAAGGTGCCAAGTCAATCAAATACAATCTATGTTTACAGTTAAAAGGTTAAGAGCTCTAACTTCATTGATTATTATTATTATTATACAGGATTTATATAGCGCCAACAGTTTGCTCAGTGCTTTACAATATAACGGGAGACAATACAGCAACAACACAGTTCAATACAAGAGGATTAGGCCCTGCTCCTTACAATCTAAGAGGGAGGGGCTAGTGGTACAAAAGGTCATAACTGTGGGGGATGGACTGGTAGGAGGAAGAGAAGATTCCATTATTAGCTGAAGGCAGGATAGGTTTCTCTGAAGAGATAGGTTTTCAGAGATCGCCTAAAAGTGAGCAGAGTAGGCAATAGTCTGATAAATTGGAGAAGAGAGTTTCAGAGGATGGGGGAAGCTCTGGAGAAGTCCTGGAGATGAGCATGGGAGGAGGAGACAAGGGAGCTAGAGAGTAGGAGGTCATGCGAGAAGCGGAGAGTATGGTTGGGTGATATTTGGAGACAAGATTGGTGATGTAATTTGAGGCAGAGTTATAAATGGCTTTATATGTTATTGTTAGTGTTTTGAATTTTATTTGTTGGGCAGTGAGAAGCTAATGCAGGGCTTGGCAGAGAGGGATGGCAGATGTGAAATGGTTAGTAAGGGGAATGAGTCTGGCAGCAGCATTCATGATAGACTGAAGAGGGGATAGCCTGAGATGAGGTAGGCCAATGAGGACGGAGTTACAATAGTCAAGGTGAGAGTTAACCAGGGAGTGAATAGATTGCTTTGTAGTTTCAGAGGTTAAGAATGGGAGTATCTTGGAGATGTTGCGGAGGTGAAGTCTACAAGATTTGGGGCTGGAAGGACAGATGGGAGTCTAGGACTACACCTAGATTACACCTAGAGGAGGAGACAGAGTTATAGGTAACACTGAAGGAGCGCTGCGATAGGTAGAAGGAGAACTAGGAGAAAGCAGAGTCTTGGAGGCCAAGAGAGTGGAGTTTTTTTGAGGAGGGGGGGGGGGATGATCAACAGTTTCAAAAGGTGCAAAGAGGTCAAGTAGTAAGAGTATGGAGTAGTGGCCATTGGTTTTAGCAGTTAGTAAATGATTAGTGAGTTTTAGTAGAGCAGTTTCAGTGTAGTATAGTGTAGTGTAGTGAGCAACAGCCCAACTGTAAAGGGTTAAGAAGGTTGTTTGTCAGTGAGGTAGGAGCTCAGGCGATTGTAGACTAAGTGTTCTAAGAGTTAAGAGGTAAACGGGAGCAGGGAGATTGGTCTTAGGTTGTTCAGGTTGGTGGGGTCCAGCGAGGGCTTTTTAAGTATGTGTGCATGCTTTATAGGGGTGGCGAAGGCACCATTAGAGAGGGAGAGATCGAAGATGTGAGTGAGGGAGCATAGGACAGATGAAGAGGGTGACTGTAGTAGTTGTGAAGGGACAGGATCCAGGGGGCGAGTAGTGAGATGGGCTTCTGAAAAAACTTTAGTGACCTCTTTGGTAGTAGCAAGGTCAAAAGAGGAAAGTGTTGAAGGAGGTTTAGTATAAGGTATGCTAAGTGGGATAGATGTTTGTGCAGTGGAGATGCCCCTTCAAATTGCATCAATCTTGTTTTTGAAATGATTTGCAATCTCGTTAGAAGTGAGTAAGTTACTGGGTGGAGATAGAGGTGGAGGTGGACAAAGTAGAGAGTTAAAAGTAGAAAAGAGACAAGGACTGGATGACAAGATATTGATGAGAGTAACAAAGTAGGCTTGTTTGGCAGCATGGAGGGAGGAATTGTATGTTAAGAAATTTGATTTATATAGGGTGAAAACTTGCTGAGATTTGGTTTTACGCCACAACTGCTCCAGTGCACGACTATGTCGCTTAAGATTTCTGGTGTCCGCAGTCTGCCATGGTTGTAATGGTCGGGGCCTGATACTTTGTGTAGTTAGAAGAGCAAGTGAGTCTAATGTTGATGAAAGTAAGCTGTTGTAGACAGTAGTGGCCAGGTAAGGGCAGGATAGGAGAGAGATTCTGTCATAGAGGTGGTCAGTTGCAGAGTGGAAAGGAGAAGGGTTCAAGTTGTGAAGGTTTCTGCGGGTTATTGTTTGCTGCTTGGAGGGACAGGTGTTTGAAGACAAGGAGACTGTGAAGGTGATGAGATTGTGATCAGAGAGAGAGGGTGTTTGTGAGGTTGTGAGGTTGTATGGAGTGCAAAGATGGGAGAAAACAAGGTCTAATGTATTCCCATCAGAGTGAGCGGAGGACTGTGTCCATTGTGTTAAGGCAAAAGATGAGGTTAGGTTGAAGAGTTGGGATGTAGCTGGGTTGTTCACATTAATGGGATGTTAAAGTCTCCAAGAATGATAGTGGGAATTTCAGAGGAGAGAAAGTAGGGTAGCCAGGTAGAGAAGTCATTAAGAAAGCAAGACACCAGTCCAGGAGGCTGGTAGATCACTGCAATCCTCAGAGAAATAGGAGAAAACAGTCGAATGCAGTGAGCCTTGAAAGAAGAGAAGGATAGTGTCAGGGCTCCAGGGTATGACCAGAGGTATGTGACTGACGCAGGGAAACGCAGGCTTCAGATAAGTTATAACAATATAATTTATTAAAGACTAACAATACAAACATAAACGCAGTGCAATACTAAAACATAACACAACCAAACCAAACCACCCACAGATAATACATACAATGCAAGCGTCGTCAGGCAGGCCGGGTCAATAACAATCGGCAGGTAGGTACAGGGGGGTCAGGCAGAGAATGGTCGGGGTCACAAGCCAGGGATAAAGCAGGAGAAGTAGCAGAGGTCCGGATCAGGCAGGGTCAGCAACGAATCAGACAGAGACAGAGACAGGAACAGGAACAGGGATGCAGGAACAAGATACAGGGCCCAGGAAAAACACACACACAAGGCAAAGACTGCAGGTCTGGCCATCACTTAAATACACCTGCCTAAGCAGTTTCAGGTGTTTGGCTGGCTGCAGGGTTGAGTCTCTGATTGCTGGGAGCACCCACTGGCCAGCCCTGGTACTGCAGCCCACAAGTCAGGTGAGTCCCACCATTACTGGCAAGTCCATTCCTAACAGTACCCCCCCCCTCAAGGAGCAGCCTCAGGACGCTCCAAACAGTCCTAGCTGGGCAAAATGTTCCACCGCTCGGGTCTGGTAACTGGCGGGATATCAAAGACTGGCACATCGGGCAGGACTCCGGGCAGCGGCACACCAGGCAGGACTCCGGGCAGCGGCACACCGGGCAGGACTCCGGGCAGCGGCACACCGGGCAGAGGCACATCGAGCAGGACTCCGTGCAGCGGCACATCGGGCAGGACTCCGGGCAGCGGCACATCGGGCAGCGGCACATCGGGCAGGACTCCGGGCAGCGGCACATCGGGCAGCGGCACACCGGGCAGGACTCGGGCAGCGGCACGTCGGGCAGGACTCCGGGCAGCGGCACATCGAGCAGGACTCCGGGCAGCGGCACATCGGGCAGGACTCCGGGCAGCGGCACATCGGGCAGGACTCCGGGCAACGGCACATCGGGCAGGGCACATCGGGCTGGACATCGGGCTGGACTCCGGGCAGAGGCACATCGGGCTGGACTCCGGGCAGGCACATCGGGCAGGCACATCGGGCTGGACTCCGGGCAGAGGCACATCGGGCTGGACTCCGGGCAGAGGCACATCGGGCTGGACTCCAGGGGGCGGCAGGCACCGGCACATCGGGCGGGACTCCGGCAGGGCACCGGGCCACCAGGCGGAGCGGCAGGCACCGGGCCACCAGGCGGAGCGGCAGGCACCGGGCCCCCAGGCGGGGCGACAGGCACCGGGCCCCCAGGCGGGGCGACAGGCACCGGGCCCCCAGGCGGGGCGACAGGTACCCCCAGGCGGGCCACCAGGCGGGCAGCAGGCACAGGCACCGGGCCCCCAGGCGGGGCGACAGGCACCGGGGCGGACCCCAGGCGGAGCGACAGGTCTCGGGCCCCCAGGCAGAGCGGCGGGCACGGACCCCCAGGTAGAGCGACAGGTCACGGGCCCCCAGGTGGAGCGACAGGTCTCGGGCCCCCAGGCGGAGCGGCGGGCGCCGGACCCCCAGGCGGAGCGACAGGTCTCGGGCCCCCAGGCGGAGCGGCGGACCCCCAGGCGGAGCGACAGGTCTCGGGCCCCCAGGCGGAGCGGCGGGCGTGCCGGACCCCCAGGCGGAGCGACAGGTCTCGGGCCCTCAGGCGGAGCGGCGGGCGCCGGACCCCCAGGCGGAGCGACAGGTACCGAGTCACCAGGCACGACAGTGGGCTCCGAGTCAACTGGCATGACCACTGGCACTGGGTCAGACATTGGATCGTCTGGCTGGACAGCGGGCATCGGGTCACCAAGCATCAGGTCATTTGGCTCGACAGCGGGCACCGCGTCATCTGGCAAGGCAGTGGGCACCAAGTCACCAGGCACGACAGTGGGCTCTGAGTCAATTGGCACGACAGCGGGCACCGGGTCATCAGGTACCGGATCGTCTGACTCGACAGCAGGCACCGGGTCATCTGGCGCTGGCTGGCTGGATCGTCTGGCACTCGGTCACCAGCGGGCATCGGATCACCAGGCATGACCGCAGCGGGCACTGGGTCATCAGGCATTGGATTCGTCTGGCTCGACAGCGGGCATCGGGTCACAGGGTTATCAGGTATGGGTCAGCGGGCACTGGGTCACCAGCATCAGGTCATTTGGGTCTGGCACCAGGGGCATCAGGTCACGTCATCAGGCATTGCTCTGGCTCAGCGGGCATCGGGTCATCGGGCACCGGGTCATCTTGGATCGGGCTCGACAGCGGGCATCGTCTGGGGCACTCGGTCACAGGCGGATCGTCTGGCACCGGGGCATCGGGTCATCGTCTGGATCGACAGCGGGCACCGGGTCATCTGGCGTTGGATCGTCTGGCTCGACAGCGGGCATCGGGTCACCAGGCATGACAGCAGGCACTGGGTCATCAGGTACCGGATCGTCTGGATCGACAGCGGGCACCGGGTCATCTGGCGCGCTGGATCGTCTGGCTTGACAGCGGGCATCGGGTCACCAGGCATGATAGCGGGCACTGGGTCATCAGGCATTGGATCGTCTGGCTCGACAGCGGGCATCGGTTCACCAGGTATGACAGCGGGCACTGGGTCATCAGGCATTGGATCATCTGGCTCGACAGCAGGCATCGGGTCACCAGGTATGACCGCGGGCACTGGGTCATCAGGCATTGGATCGTCTGGCTCGACAGCGGGCATCGGGTCACCAGGCATGACAGTGGGCACCGGGTCATCAGGTACCGGATCGTCTGGCTCGACAGCGGGCACTGGGTCATCAGGCGTGATAGGATCATCAGGCTGGATCAGTTCATCAGGCTGGGTACAGACATCAGGCTGGGTACAGACATCAGGCTGGGTACAGACATCAGGCTGGGTACAGACATCAGGCTGAAGTGCGGGTGCCGAGGCACCAGGCTGAACCACGGAAGGCAGGTTCTCAGACGGCAGGCTCACCGGTTTGAATACTGGCAGGATGGTACTGGTTGGAAAGAATTTCCGCTTTTTTCTGGTTTTAACTACTGGGGCACTGCAAGTAAACGCAGGTTTGTAAACGGATGGAGCAGCTGAGGACAGAGAAGAGCTGGAAGATGGAACAGAGGAGGGAGCAGTTGCTACAGAGGACTTCTTTACAGGGTTAAAGAAAGGATAGGTGCAGCGAGTGGGAGCAGAGGACTGGTATGTGGTAGTTAGAGTATACTGGGCAGTCACTGGGGATGCTGTCGGGGATGTAGGAAGAGTGCCTTGAGTGGAGGAATGATGTTGTAAGCTGACTGAGGCTGGGTGCAACAAGTCTGACCATGTCTGCAGCATGGGTTGAACGAAGCTCAGTTTACACAAAGCCTGTCTGACCAAAGACTGCACTGCGTTTATACAATCCCTTAATACCTGCGGTGAACATGCAGAGTAACGCTCCAGAAAGTAATCCACATCATCCTCTAATAACCATACCAGGGACTCTACCTGGTCGCACTAAATGGCGGCAAAAATTCATCCCGGCATTCGGGGGTACCAGATGAAACCAACTCCGCACAAACCTGAATCAATGGCTGCACCTCAGAGAATTCTGTGCCCTGATCTACTAGAACATGAGCGAGCCGTATACACTCTAGCAGTTTATCCCTGGGATACTCCTTCAGAGTCTGATAAGCATATTCTCTGTCATCAAACACTAGCAGATATAAATACACAACCTCATCCAGATCCATCCTTCCCAGCAACAAGCCAAGATGGCTTCCCTGTGCAGCCACTTCTGGTCAGGATTGGCCTTGGTGTAATGTCAGGGCTCCAGGGTATGACCAGAGGTATGTGACTGACGCAGGGAAACGCAGGCTTCAGATAAGTTATAACAATATAATTTATTAAAGACTAACAATACAAACATAAACGCAGTGCAATACTAAAACATAACACAGTGCAAACGAACCAAACCAAACCACCCACAGATAATACATACAATGCAAGCGTCGTCAGGCAGGCCGGGTCAATAACAATCAGGCAGGTAGGTACAGGGGGGTCAGGCAGAGAATGGTCGGGGTCACAAGCCAGGGATAAAGCAGGAGAAGTAGCAGAGGTCCGGATCAGGCAGGGTCAGCAACGAATCAGACAGAGACAGAGACAGAGACAGGAACAGGAACAGGGACAGGGACAGGGACAGGGATGCAGGAACAAGATACAGGGCCCAGGAAAAACACACACCAAGGCAAAGACTGCAGGTCTGGCCATCACTTAAATACACCTGCCTAAGCAGTTTCAGGTGTTTGGCTGGCTGCAGGGTTGAGTCTCTGATTGCTGGGAGCACCCGCTGGCCAGCCCTGTACTGCAGCCCACAAGGCAGGTGAGTCCCACCATTACTGGCAAGTCCATTCCTAACAGATAGAGAGGGAGGGTTAGGGAGGACTTGAGAGGTGCTCAGTGGGGATAGAAGCAAACCAATTCCACCACCTTTCCGACCACTGGGTCTGGGTCAGTGGGTCCAAGAAGGCGTTCATAGGAAAGTGCTGAGGGAGAAGCAGAATCTGATGCTTGAAGCCAGGTTTCTGAAATTGCTAGTAGGTTAAGGGAGGTTAAGTGGAAGACAAAAAGGTCATGGACAGAGCTGAGCTTATTACAGACAGAGCGGGCATTCCAGAGCGCACATGAAAAAGGGAGGGTGGTTTTTAACAACACAGGGATAGAGATTAAATTGAGCGGATTGCGGCTATTCCTGGAGGAAGGAGGGTGTCTGGTGTGGGGGTGAGATCCTGGAGGCCCAGGGTTTGGGAGGATATCCCCAGAGGTTAGAAGAAGAGGGAGGCTGAGGAAAGTAAGGTGGGAGCGGGATGTATATGAGTACACATGCCTGTTCTGGTGTTTGGGTCAGCGGGTGAGTAAAGTATCAGCAGGAGGTGATGAGAGCAGTAGTAGGGAAATAGTAGAAGTGAGGGTGAAATGTATAAGCTTTAAGGTGGTACAGAGGGGTAAAGAAATTAAATTTTGAGAACACAGGGTAGTAATATGAAAAGGAGGAGTAGAGGCAGCATATTAAAAAGGTACATGGAGTGGGACTCGTAAGAGATGTTTCCCAGGGTGTTTGCCTGCAGTTTATCCTGCTTTAGTCAAACTGCTGTGTTCAACTGCTGCTTCACACTCCAGGATAAAACGCACTCATGCAGAAAACTGCACCCTCGTCTGCGATTGTGCCCCCCGTCTGTGACTTATTGGGAGATGATCAAATGAGCAACTCTTCTCCACCCCAATTTGGAACTTATAAGGATCACATGAAATGGGGGGAGGTGTTGGGCAAAGACAGACCAGCCACACAGACACAGGCCAAAATCATAAAAGATTATTAATTCTCTGATCACAGAAGGGCAAAAGGAGGTGAGAATCAATCACCACAAACAGACCAAAAGATATAGACTAATTGTCCTGCGTTTTGCAAAAAGTCAATGCGTTGCAGAGAGGCAGTTTAAGGTGGAGATGAGACAGCAGCATTTACCCCAGGTTAGCATGTGCTCTCTCACTTCACAGTGAGTAAATATACAGTGTCAGTATTTAGTCCTGTGGGCACTGGGAGGGATCTGGAGATGCTAGGAGGTAGGTTGGGTTGCATTTTTCTGCAGAAGATACCATTCCCCTTAAAGGGGCTATTTAAAATATATATTTTTCTCTTTTCCCTTATGCCTTTCTTTTGAATTATAATTGATTGCCATATCTAGTTTTGCAATTTATGAGTGGGCAGAGGCCTGGATATCAATACCCTTTTGGTAATGGGGGTGACTGCTTGACCATTTAAAAGAGCAACATCTGGCAGTCCATGTAGATATATATGATAAGTATGTGGGTTGTTGATGTGTTATTTACCGTCTGTTGACAGTGGATGGTCTCTCTTATAGGACTTGCTGTGAAGTATTTGGATGTTTGTTTCGGACCATATCTCAACATATCTTAGAATATAATATAATATCTTAGCCTACAATGCACAAATGAGAAACAAATGAGTCCCTAGAAGTTGTGTCATATTGTCACATCTTGGCATATTGATAGGTGTGTACAGTATGGGATGATACCTTGGGAATTTATCTTTATTGTACAAATTTGATGATAACGAATCTCCTTAATTCTTCATGGGAGAGCTGAGTATAAGGAGGTTTTTGAAAACTACAATTTCATGTTTCATTAGTTTTGATGAAATGCAAGAATAAATATTCCCTTTTGAGAGTATACATAGACTGTATTTGATTGGCTTGGTACAATGAAAGTCCAATTTATTAATAATGGAGCTATTTTTGAATCATAATTTAATTTTTTTTAAACAGGATAAATTATAGATTAAATGTATGCTTTTTATCTAGACTAACACTATTTTTCCTAATTGATTTCACTAAAAAATAATTTTCGCAAGACAGTAGTACCAAAAGAAAGCTTTGTTTGTCCCGAAGAAAACAATACATATAATACATTAGCTTGGCTAGTTTAGGACACATGGCCAAAAAAACTACATCAACAGGACATTTTTAGCACATCCAGTCCTTCTGCCTTGTTGCCCCACCCCTTTAACCCCAACCCCACCTTTTAAAACCATAGCCTGCTGTATGAATACAGCAGGTATAACATCTGTTGCTTTCGTTAAAAAAGGCCATATCAGTACTTATGAACATCACTCAAATGTGAAATATAGAGAGACACAAAGCAACATTTTTACTTTTGTATCTACTCTGTTTCATTCATTTGCAGATCAAAAGGGATGAGCTGAGATTTGCAGGTAATGCCAGTTAAAACAACCTGACAAGTAAAAAAAAACTTTTTTTTGTCTCTATTAAAATGTCATTTTAAACTAGAAAAATTACAGAATAAAATGTTTACTTTGTAGCTACAGTAAGAGAATTTGTTTGTAAACTAAGATTGATAAAAAGGGCATTTATTAGTTTTTTTGGGGTTTTTTTTTTATTATTATTATTATTATTATTATTATTTTGTAAGATAAACTCACACAAAGAAAGCAGTGTTGTCTTTGAAAAAAAATAACATACTGTACTCTATGTATTACTTTGTTATTTTAAGTAATGACAAAGTTATTTCTAAATAAACAGGTTCATAGTATAAATGTTAAAATTGCTCTGGTCCATAGGGAAAGGTTGCAGCTGAACTGGTCAAGTATTGACAAAGTTATTGATGAGTAAACAGTGGTTGCGGCTTCACAATAATGAGTGTGACAGCATAGCAGAATATGGTATTTCTCTTTATGAAGTTTTCTTTACAGAAAAAAAGTTATTGATGAGTAAACAGTGGTTGCGGCTTCACAATAATGAGGTTGAGGCTTCACATAGCAGAATATGGTATTTCTCTTTATGAAGAGCATTTTCTTTACAGAAAAAAAGTTCTATGTAATACTTTGACAAAGTCTTCAACCAGTAGTCTTTGTTTAAAATTCTTGGTAGGTATAGTGTAAACTTTGTGGTAGACTTGGTGACATGGAGAAAAATTTATATTTATTTAATCTCACACAAACAGTATGATTCAGTGTAATGCACCACACAGAATGGATCTCAAATCATCTCAGCAAATACAATGTCTCATGCAGAAATGTGATTCACAACTTACTGAACCACTATAAGGTCCTAACCAGTTTCAGAAACCAAAGCTAAGTAATCCACAGTTCAGGCCAATTACTGTATACAGGATTACACAACTGAACACCTTTACACATTCCACCAATCAACCAGCCCTTTTACCAGTAAATTTAGTTCACTGGAGCAAAAAACAGGCTTCGATGACAAATTCTGGTATTATCACATGGACCTGTAGCACCCA